CTCGGTTGCCACCCTAACAATGATTCTTCACAAGGTTGATGAGAGTTGAATCGGTAACTGGAGCAAACCACAGCGTCTGGCTTTGGAATTCAGACTGCTGGTGGGTGAGTGCCAGACGTGGAAGGCCTGGCGTTTGGGATTCTTGCTGTCCTGCCCTTTCCACCACAATGCTGCTATCAAGCCCAAATTCCAGAAAAACAGGCCTCAGGGAAAGCACTAAATTAAGTCATTTTACAGACAGAGATACGCAGAGATGATTTTGGCTCTTAAAGCCAACTCAGAAAATGAAGACACATCGGCATGCCTCCCTCAGCGGCCGCCATACCGAAACCCCTCGGCGCCTCCTTCCGCCTCCCGCCAGGTGTCGCTGTAGGATACACCCAGCTTCCAAAGTGCCGTAGCCTCATTTGGCCTCCCCCGGATGCTATGAAGCACAGAGAAAAGCGACTTCATGGCTAGAGAGGTCTTTTCCTGGAGCCGCCCACGTCTCCATGTAACCACCATGCACTTCCGCTTCCGGTTTTTTTATTCCGGAAGTTGCTTTTGGAAGTAACGTGCGGGTCAGTGTGGTCTTTGTGAGATTCCGTCATGGCGTACCGTGGCCAGGGCCAGAAAGTGCAGAAGGTGATGGTGCAGCCCATCGTATCCTACGCGGGATGTCAGGACCAGGAGGTTCGGGCCAGAATGTCGGGTGCGAAGGCGCAGGCTGGGAGCCGACCCGAGGGAGCGCAGTGCGGACCCACATCCCATGAGCCCCCGGGGCGACGAGACAGGGAGAAAGAGCGGGTAGTGGAAAAACGGTGAGGGGCGGGAGGTGGGCTTGGGCAGACCCCTGCGGTGGGGAATGCAGGAATGGAGGGGACGAGCGGAAGTAAGACAACATTAAGTAGGTACCCAGTAAAAGCGGAGTTAACGGTCTTGGGCATGAGGAAGATGTCGGTACACGGAAACTCCAGGAGAATAAGGAGCTCCTAGGGGACCCCTAATAAATGCCCATTTGGGCGCTTTTCGTTGCGTAGGCACCCGATCTCCCGTTCAGAAAATAAAAGTGGTATGTGGGTAGATTCCCAGAGTTTCAGGGAGCTGAGTCTATGCTACTTTTAAACTTTTTCCTTAACCGCTGTGGTGCAGAACCTCATCTTCAGATATTTACAAAATGTAAGTAAATTAATTGCTTCGCAACTACTTTTTAAGCAAAAAATGAATTTATTTGGTTATTTGTGTCAACTTCCCTGATCGCTGTGTTCTAGAGTTAAAAAAATAGATGAAACTAGAGATTGGAGGGATAATTAAGGGGAAAGATGGAGGAAAAGCTCAAATGGTGAATAATCATGCCAACTCCAAGCATACAAAGAATTGTGCTATCATTACTTTGCAAAATCAGAATTATTAATTTCAGAAAGTATATCTTTGCAGACATGACATGGTGTTTGGGCATTGGTATTTTGTTAGTAGTGATTGTGGCCAGAACATTGGAACCTTTTCTCCTTTATACCGTCTAAGATGAAACATTGGAAGAAAAACCCAATCAACTTAAACCATGTGAAAAGGTGGTATATTTATTACCTGTGGGAAAACGTGAATTTTAAAAAGACACTAAAAAAGGAAGAAGGGAGGGGTAGATTGAGAGCTTGGTGGCAGCTGCTTTTCTGTGGGGAGGTTTTTAGCAACTTAAATTTTAGAGTGGGACAAACAACATAATTGAAAAACAGATTAATTTCAAGCCATTGTAATTTTTAACTACCAGAATTGATTGCCAGGTATGTGACATGGAAAAACTGAGAACCTAGAGAAGGTTCTGTTTTGGAGCTGGATTTTGCTATAGGAGATAAGAAAGAAGTCGTTGATCATTAGAAATTAGTGGTTTGTGCTATAGTGTCATCGGTTTTCACTCTAAATGTATTGAGACTAGAAGTAAGAAATACCATTAAGTCCCAAGATCACAGGAAAATTATTAGCTTGGACAGTCCCAATATAGCATTTATTAAATAAAAATGTTTCTTGGCAAGTAACCATTCTTGGTTAACAATTCTTAGACATGGAATTGTCTTAAAACTCTTGACTTATGTTCATTAAAAGTTTTTTTTTTTTTATGAGCTGTATTTCTCTATTGTTTGACGAAAGTGATTCGATTTTGTTTACTTTTTAAAAAAATTCTCTATTTTTGTGACCATTTCAGAGATCCCGGATTCAGGTGTGGCTCTATGAGCAAGTGAATATGCGGATAGAGGGCTGTATCATTGTGAGTATCCAGGCTATTTTTATCTCAGAGCATCTCATTCTAGAAAAAGATTTCACAGAAAATGGTCAGCCAGAGCAATGTACAAAAAATCAAAGATCCAACCCAAGGAATGTTTTTCGGGGCCCACTAATTTAGCCTTTTCGTTGTTCTAGTTGATATGGAATAGGTAATTCAAAAAAAGAGAGGGAAAATTAACTTTTAAATGTCATTTGAGCCAGGTGTACTAGTACCCGCCTGTAGTCCCAGCTACTCCAGAGGCTGAGGCAGAAGGATCACTTGAGCAAGACTTCCAGGATAGCAGGATACCCTCAGTAATATTTTAAAGAAAGATAAAGTATGGCTAGAGGTATTATGTTAAGACACTTTAGTATTTCATTTACACACCAGAAATTCCATCAGTAATCTCCCCTTTCCCATTTACCAGTTGGAAGACAAGTAGGTAATGGTTATGGTGTTTGTGGGGAACATGGGGAGTGCAGTGGTAGAAGGTAATTCACGTATGTACACACATATTCTATATTGGGCAGGTTATAAAAGAAAGGGAGAATGGCTTGTTGGCATATCTAATGAAATCCCAAATCCAAAAGGTTGAAGAAGTAATTTGGACTACATTCTAGTTTCCTTTGTTATGTAAAAAGAGGCCTCAGGTGGGACACAGTGTTTTAGCTAAAAGATCTGGAGAGGTGAATTTCTGAAGTTGTCATTTCTGTGTCTAGATAGGCGTACTCATTTAGAATGGTTTGGACGTGATTTTACTTGAAGATGACAGTCAATTGGCTTATTTTTCTAGGGTTTTGATGAGTATATGAACCTTGTATTAGATGATGCAGAAGAGATTCATTCTAAAACAAAGTCAAGAAAACAACTGGGTAAGAATACAGATGGTTTCACAGAAATGTTTATTCACTTGTAGAATTGAATGACTTGCAACTCACTTGGTGTTTAAATTTAGTTTGCATTGAGAAGTTATTAGTTGAAGTCACCCTTTGCCACCTACTCTTCACCCCACTCCATTTCTGCTACTGTCTCCATCCAGAGAGCTCTCACCAAGGTCACCAGTGGTGACCACCAAAGGCCAATGGTGTTAAATCTAATGGCCAGTATTAGTTCTCGTTTTATTTAATTCTCAACAGCATTTGGCACTATTGGCCACTCCTTCCTTAAAACACTTTGTTTCCTTGTCTGAGTTGGGGGGGAGAACGTGATTTTTGTCTTCCCTCCCTCAATAATAATCAACACAGAAGACTTCTGTACCAGATGTGTGGCAGTGTTTTCCCTATACACTAAGCAGGCAATCAGTTCTGCAGCTGACACCAGCTGGGTGTCCTCTGATTCTACCTGGAGATAGCATCAGATCCCACAGGTTGAGGGCTCATTCCCCTGAGACTTCTGAATACCATTCAGAAGCTCCAGGTGGTTTTACCTATGCATCTCACTGGCTATAAATTGGGGTTCCCTCAGCTCCTTTCCTGGGTTTGACTAATTTGCTAGGGCAGCTGACAGAACTCAGAGAAACACATTTACTGGTTTATTATAAAGGATGTTACAAAGGGTACAAATGAAGGGATTCACAGAGTAAGGCATGTGGGAAAGGGTGCAGAGCTTCCATGCCCTCTCAGGCTGGCCAACCTCCAGGAATTGTCCTTTTGGGTTTTTATGGAGGGTTCATTACATGGGGATGACTAATTAAACCATTGGCCATTGGTGATTGACTTAACCTTCAGCCTCTTCTGCTCCTCCAAGGTTGCGGGGTAGAGCTGAAAGTCACAACCCTCTAATCGTGTCCTGGTCCTTCCAGTGACCAGGTGGCCAGCCCCCATCCTGAAGCTACCTATGGGCTGCTGGCCATCAGTCAACTCATTAGCATACAAACAGATCACTTTGGAGAGTTTGAGGATTTTAGGAGTTGTGTGCCAGGTTATATTTTACAGTATCACAACTCTGTGATACTACACTTGGGTTTTCATTTTTCATTTGTGATTATTTCTTTTCAGACTTTTGTATATTGATTCTTTGAGACTCAGCCACTAAATGTTTGAGTTGCTTAAGACTTGGTTCTAGACTGTCCTCTCACTAAATATTGTCTAACTAGATACTCAAGACCACAGCTTCAATTACCATCTGTATATTGACTCCCAAATTTACATCTGTAGCCCAGATCCCTCCTCTGAGCCTATTCAACATTTCTATGTGAATGTTTCAGAGGCTCCTCAAAGTTAGCATATCAGAAACCAAACTGAATTCCCACTCACATTGTTTAGAGCTATTTTAGTGTTCCCTGCCTTACTGAGTGGCACCAATTTCTTTTTAATTTACTAACTGATTTCTCTGCAACTACCTCATCCCCCTCTAGTTTGCTCTCCAGGCTCTGTCTTCTTTTAAAAATACCAGTCTGACCATGTTATCCCTTTTCTTGAAATTCATCGGGAACTTCCTGTTGCTCTTAGGATAAAAAAAATCTTTCATGTATTCTGCAAGGTCCTTCATGATCTGGTCTTAACTTCCCTCGCTTCATCTTGTGTTACTCTGCCTCATTTTCAGAGCGTTAGCCACAATTCCCGTCTTTTCAGTTCCTTGAATCTGCCCATTTGACCCACCATATAACTTTGTTTATGTTATTCCCTGTGCCTTTAGAACTCAGATCAAATGTCACTTCCTCTAAGAAGCCCAAAGTTTAATTGGGTTTTGCTGAGGGTGGGGTGGGGGAAGGCAGGATATGATGTGCTCTCTGAGTTTGTAGTTAAACATTTATCCGAGGGATGATTTTAGCAATGTCTCTCCCGTAAAACCAGATGCTCCATAAATGCATGAGTCACGTTTTGTTTGGTCCCTATTCGTTCAGTGTATTTTTTCCGGACCCTGAAGATTCTCTTGAACCTATACTAGATATGTGGAAAGTATATTTTGAGAAGTGATGTGATGTTTTGTTATATGCTTCTTCCTGCTTAGGCTATTTTACTGAAAGCCTGAGTTTTTTAAGTTTAAAGATGTCTTGCCAGGAAGGGCAAACTTAGTCTTGTTGAGGTCATCTTACTTATAAATTATTTGCCAAGTGTTGAGTTCCCATGGTAGTATTGATCTTGTAGAATAAATTAATTTTATCTGTAGAAGCCTGGGAAAGTAAACCAGTTTTAATCACTACTGGAGTTGATTTACATTTCTTCAACTGTTCTAGCAACGAACACCAGTGTTCCTAAAGATGTTTATAGATATTTCTCAGAAAAAAAGTGTTCTCTTAAATAAGCTTGGGAAACGTTAAGTAAAACAAACTCAGCATTGA